AGGCAGAAACTCTGTGCTCCACAAAGCTCATACACATACAAAAAAACTATTATTATGACCTATTACTGTCCACAAAGTCAATATCCTGCATAGAAACACTAGGAAGGAGTCTGATGATGTTCACTCTACGGTTTTACCACTTTGATTAGCACTAGGATTAGCACTTTGGTTTAACACAACTTGTAGCAACTCCTTTCCCCCAATGAAGGATGACACTTTACTGATTAATTTTTAGGTTTAATGGCAATAAATCCTCATTTTCACCATAAGCTGGAAATCTGTACACAAAAACAGCGTATAAGTTAAAATCCACTCTTCAATCCCATTGACAGAGGTGTATAAAATCAATCACCTAATGAAGCAGGCTGCCTTTACAAACATTTGCAAAAGAACATCATTCTAAAGAGCTCATTGAAGCATTAAAAACAAGTGAATGAAGTATCTGCATTTTTTTAAAATGTTTTTTTATTTTTATGTATATAGTTCAAATTCTCATGTATTGCAAAATGTCAATTAAAAAGTTATAACTACATATAATGAACTTTATGCATTGCAGGGTTGGAAGGATATTGCCGCTATAGAGAGAAGAGGCTATGTATTTTTTTCTCACCTTCATACAACCTGAGGATTTACTGCAGAAAACAATGTAGCTCACTATTAATATTTTCATTAACTATCTCTAATGGTCAGCATGTCACTGTTGTCTCTAAAAATATGACAAACTAATGCCTCGTTCTCTTCTTTCCTCTGTCTTCTGTCATACACTGACCAGTACTTGGAGTATCACCTATTTGACATCACCAGAACCATCTAACCCCTGGACCAGTGATGACTCTACTTTCTGGGATTTGGAGGCTAGTAAGGAGCCCAGTAAGAAAGGGTGAAGTGGGGCTTCTCCCTGGAGGAGGCCTTAAAAGATACAGCAGGACAAGTTTCTAGACTTCTAGCCCAGAAAAGCTCCGGTGCTGGCTGGTTGTACAGGGGTTAAAGAAGAGGCCTCAACAGGAAGTTGCACAGAGGCCGCAGGACATCTGGGCAAATGGAGTGCCCAGCTCTATCAACCTGGACTCCCACAGCTACAAATGCACCAGTCAAAACCTGAATGACCCTGGACATCACAGCTATGAAGAAGCATAGGATAGCACCACATCTAAAAGCTGATGAAAAGTGACAGTTATTCACGTTTAATACAGTCCAACCTGTACCAAGAACTTCTGATGGTGAGGAAAAAACCTGAAACGGAGCAAGGCAAACACACCTCCCTGGTGAAGTTCAATCGCAGTGAATTATTAGTTATTAATAATCTCTGGCTCTCTTCCACAGCATGTCTTTGATTCCGTCTTCCTCACCTCATCCAAAACCAGTCATGACAGATGGCCATCCCTTCCTGAGCCTGTTTCTGCTCAAGGTTTGTTCCTGTTAAAACTGAAATTTTTTCTTCTCACTGTCGCCAAGGCACTTACTCATAGGAGGTCATATGATTGTTGGGGTTTTCTCTTTTTTCTCTGTATTGGTGTAGGATCTACCTTACAATATAAAACGCCTTGAGGCAACTGTTGTTGTGATTTGACACTATATAAATAAAACTGAATTGAACTGATCCACAACCTAACCTTATATCCATCACCTTAGCATTTAACAAAGGGACAGATTGCTGTATATAAAAGTTGTAGAACAAACAGTGTAGGTGTGTGTGGTCAATACCAGTTCCTCCTCGTGATCCACATCTTTTGGCCGAGTAAAGAGCAGGCGCTGTTGCTCAGCCAGCTCCACATCAGCTGTAGTCTCTGGAAGATCTTGCAGAGTGCTCTGCATCTCTTCTAACAAACCCCGTTTTACATCACTGCTCATATCCTCTATCACATCCACTGCATTTTGTGGCTGCTCATCCATCAACTTCATCAGCAAGCGAGTGAGGTGGTCATAACTAGAACATCAGTTACACAGTTATGTACATATCAACCTAGAAATCTTAGTTGTACATATTAGCACACATATTAATACACAGATACCATATGGTTCCACAAGACAAGGTTTGTCATGAGACTGTTCTGTTGTATTGCTGTATTATTTAATCTAAACTGCCTTTTCTTTTTACTGCATCTTTAAATGCTGCAAAATTTGGTCTTGCAACAGTTTTGAAGTTCTCACCTCTAAAGGTGCATTTCCCCTGGCAACTCGTATGGGCGGCACAACACTAGTTAACATGCAAAAATTTAGCCAGAATTTAATTAGAGTGAAAAAGAAACTCTTGTGTCACTGAATAAGTCACAGACACCAGTTCCAGTGGCTGTGGCTCAGGATGCCGTGAGCGTACATCTACTAATCAGACCACCATCTATGGGGGTTTTATCCCGAGGGATCATCAGAGATCATCAGATGACGGAAAACTGAGACAATATATACACACAGTAAGTAATTAGGGAGGTGGTAAACATCAGGAAAGATAGCTGCAAACAACTCGGAATTAACGAGACAGGAAATAAAGAAATAATACATGAACTAAAACACACACATACAGAAACCCAATGTGCGTTCAAATAGCCAATTTTGCTTAGGAAGGTTCCTAACTAACAGACGTGACATGGAAGTATCTGCATGGAGGACATAATAGTATTCTTCAAATACTAAGGAAAGAAGCTTCAGTGCTTTAATGCTTGCATCTGCATAGCATACTGGACCATCCTTTATGAAAGGGGAGGAGAAACTGAAGAATGCAGAACGTTATTGTATAATGGCATTACAAATTGATGATTAAGATCTATATTAAATGATAAAAGTGTGCTTAAGGTTCTGTATAACCAGTATTTATTAGTAATGTTCTTTGCTGTAGAGACAAGGAAAGTGACACTGAACATGATACACATAACCCTAGAGACTATCAAAATAAAACAGCAAACAGACAGAGGCCAGACACAGGAAGACAGGGGAAACAAACAGAGGCAAGACTGACTAAATAGGGGAATGCAGGGAGGCGACACAGAGACAAGACTAGGAAGACAAACACGAAGAAAGTGAAGACAGAGAGAGAGCAAGAGAGAGAATGACAGTGAAAGAGGGAGTGAGACATGGAGAGAAGACTGAGACAAAAACTTGACATTCGCAACCAGACATAACATGCTACACATAGGGGATTGCTGGGAAGGATCCACAGAGACCAAGTCAAACAGGACACGGAAGGGAACGAAACTCAGTGAAATCAGAATGAACTAGATCTAGGGGTTATACAGCTATCATTACAAAATCTTATCCATAGCCTGATAATGCCCTGGTGCCAATACAGCTTTAATATGTTTCGAACATTTTTGCATATATGTTATTAGTTACATTTGGATCACAGATCAAATAACATCGAATTAAGCAAAGGAGTTATAAAGAAAGGGAGAATGTTGAAATTCAGTGAATGTTTCTGTTTAGGAAAGTTTATTCATGCTTATTGCATTGTACAGCTAACTTTTCAAAAATGGAGGTACTGGCCTTGTAGTGTGGAGGCAAAGCTATGGAATCACAAAACATAATGATACGATGTGGTGTATATATCATATTATATTATAAATGTGTTCATTATTATAACTTAGATTACATCAGCAAGGAAGCTGATTAAATATTAAATATACGTATTGCGAATGGGTGGGATTAAATAAGTGTGCACTTCTTCCCACTGCTTTCGATATGTAACTGAGTCAGAACCGGTGAAGCAATGTTGAAATGTATTGGCTTTATTTTGTATAGCTTTTTTTTCTTTTCTAAATGAACTTGTGCACATTGTTTACATGATTGAAATAAATTAACAAACAGACAAGTAGGTCATGAGAGATACTAACTAGTACTATAAAAGGTAACTTACAGGTTCAGGTTGCTCTTCGTGCTGTTTTTCAACATATAAGACTTGAACGCGGCAGCTGACTGCACTCTCTCTTCTCCGTCCATCGTTCGTCAACTACGTCTGAGGTATGGACAGAGTAACGGTTTATACAAGCGTGGAAAAGACTTCCAAAATTTTGTGTTACTGCTTTCTCAATGTACCGCCGTATACAGACTCCAAGGGTTGCTATGGTTACTGTAACGGTGGCGCTCGCTAACAGAGGGGTCTGGTTGCTAGGCTCGCGTATGCACCCTGGCGGTTAGTGATGAGCGATACCACTGCTTTCCTTTGCTATCCGAACCAGGATGTGTTTGGAAAATTAAAACTGTACCGTCATAATGAATACAAGACATCATACTTCTTATTATTGTTTAATTATTAAGAATTATTAAAAATAATAAAAAAAAAAAACCACTGAAACATCAATACGTACATTTTAAAATATTTAAATACACAAAAACAAATGTGCCCGCCTGAATATAAAACATTATATAAACATTTTACATTATATTATCTATTTTATGTATAAAACATTTTGAGTTGTATTTTTATTTTTTAAAGCCTACATGGCTGTTTTACTGCAAGTATGCGGTCTATTCTAATACACCTAGTCTATATAATCCACTTTAAATCTCTAAATTTGGACAAATTGGATTCTGTAGTTTTAAGGATGCAGGGAATTTCCATTAATTAAACATCAACACAAATCTACACCTAGACATAAATCACTTTCCAAAATTCAGCAACAGTGGTACACGTTGCCACCAACTCACATTTGTCCTTTTGTACCTGGATAGTGTTCACCTGCAGCACCAAAGGGCTTTGTGAGAAATGCCTGGCTTGCAGTCTCTGATCTTATTCATCCCAGGGATGTTCTATTGGGTTGAAGTCGGGACTCTGTGCAGGTGAAGTTCTTACACACCAAACTCACTCATCCATGTCTTAATGGACCTACTCTGGACTACGCTGACAGGCGTGATAATAAGGATTCTTTATTTGGCATGAAGTCTGTACTTTATTGCTTACTTACTGATGCTTACAAATAAAGCTTTAAATATCAAAACCACAAGCAGTTATGAGAATTTGAGTTGTAGGACTTGAGGGAAGAAAGACTTCATGAAACTCAGGAGAGACATTAGTATGTAAGATCATTTTAATTTTATACAGTTGACTGTAAATAACAAAAAAATTACATTTAAACTGCAAGCTGTGCTCCATGGTAATTTAGGAGCAAAGTACCAAGAGAAGCACGACAAATCAAGGTCTACCTAACACCACGAATGCTTGTAGCAGACAGTTTAGAATGAGAAGTTTGTATCAAACTGTAGAATCACAATGCAGGATGAATTCAGATTGAGCAGAGGGTCCTTACTCAATAAAATAGAGGGTCCAGGAGGGTTCGCTCTCTCTTTGCCACGCTTTTCTGCCCCATTTTCTTATTTTGCCTTCTCTTCTGTGTTGTTTTGTCTTTTGCACGTGAATATGCGGAAGGCAAGAGCAGTCCTTCGTTACTTACTACCATTGCTTCTGTGCACGTCTCCCAATGTTGCTGTTGGTTGGGCAGCTTCTCCTCCATATTTGTACTTGGGGATGATTTGAAGGAGCAGCTGAATGATGGAGCAAGAGCAGCAGCTGGTCAAAGGCACAGGCTATTAGGGTGGATGACCCTATATTATCCATGTTCCACCCTTTATTTTTTTTCAATATATTTGGTTTTCAACTTAGCTATATTGAAGTAAAGAAAATATTACTGTTAGCAACAAATGGTGTTTAATTACCTTTAAACACAAGGTGACCTCAGTACTGACCTAAATAATTAACCCTGTAACCTGACCAATCCATCTGCATACTGGAACTGTCCACTGTTTTCATACTCCAGCATGTCAAGTGCAACCTCACAGCTCTCCTTGACAACACGCTCTTGGTCTCCACGGTAACGCTGCAGCACGGCCAGACACTCGTCTTTGCCAATTGAGCCTAGAGCCTCTGCTGCCTCGTGCCGGACCATGGGGTTCTCGTTGGAACGCTCCAAAGCTGCACGGAGGGCTGGGACTGCTGCTGGATGCTGCATCTGCCCCAGAACATAGCCAATCTCATGACGGAACAGAGCACTGGAGCATTGCAGGCCTGGAAGCAAACAGAATCGGATGCACATATTAATTTCCACCTGCGTAGTTCTACATACTTATTCTTATACTTCACAAGGATTTACAGTTACTGACTTTCATATATGCATATATTTTATTAGGTGCTCAGTGACGACATCTTCAAGTTCCTTGAGTGTTCTAGAACCATGGTTTGCATGTAGTATTATCAGATTAACGATGACTGCTGAGTGAAATAAATGTTCACATAATTGTTTACCATAAAGTTGGACCTTACCATCTCCTAGTGCCAACACAGCCTCCTCAGTGCCAAGGTTACGCAGGGCAAACATGGCACGGTAGCGGTCAAAGAGTGGCAGGCTTTCATCCAACAGTGTGGAGCGCAGCTCTGGCACGCTCTTCCTTGCTGCTGGAGGGGCTGGGTCTACAGAGCAGTAGGGGTTTTTATCTGTGTGTCCGTCCTGCAACGTTTTCTCTCCTCCACTCTGAAGCCATTCTAGCCGTCGAACAGCCAGTTGACATGTCTCCGCAACCTGTATAGATTGAATGTCAGCTTTTATGTCATTTTCTGTATCAACTGAGTGTTAATAATTGAGAGTGCAAGCTGCAATTTTAGTTGTGGTTTCAAGTATCAAGAGTAACTGAAATTATCACCAAATGTAAACCTCAAAAAATAATAAATGACATTTGCTCATAAATAAAAATATGTCCAATTATGAAGTTAAAACACTGGAATACTGAGGCAAATGAGATTATATACTGGGAAAGTCAGTGGTTCAGTCCAGGCAAAAAATTGCCCCCTATGAGATCATAGGTGTGAGTTAACTGTCAAGTGTGTGACTGTGCTAAATAAAGCACAGTTGTATGCTGTATGAAGCATGCTAAATGACATATCAGACTCAAATTCTTCCAAAAGTTGAAGTCATATTTACTTTGTCTCTGCTTAGCGTCTCTTAAAGTTCCTCTGACTTACATATTTAATGTTTCTGACAAACAATAAAACAACATGAGATGATGAGTGTATGAGGACCATTATGGCTGTATTTTAACCAGTCAATTTCAAACTGCTGCTCTGCTCACATTCAGTTTTTATGACCGTAACATGGTATGTATACCCTCTGAAAATTAGCAGGATTTTGTTACCACTCACTTAGAACTCACCAAATCAAATGGTGGAGGAGTCCCAGGTATTTAAACCCTAGTGGGGGTTGTGCCTTAATGTGGCCATTATGCTCACCATGTCTCACACTGATTTTCGCTGTGACAAAACCTGGCACATTGTGCTGCAGCCACCACAAGAAAGTTTTTCCTTCCCACTGTTGCCAAAGCACTTTCTCATAAGGGGTGATATGATTGTTGGGGTTTTGAATTGAATTGATCAGACAGCTGCAGGGAGTTTATAGATACACCGAGAGTAAAAACCAGTAGACCAGAAAATTCACACCGAATGTTGAATGTTAGCAATTTGAAGGAGTGAAATAAACCAGGAGTAAATGGAACACAGTTTTAGTTACCCTTGTAAACTACTGCTATAACTCCAACACGGCTTGAGCACCTCTGGGAAAGTATTGGGTGGACAAAGTTCCACAGTCCCACATTTTAAGGAAAGTTTCACTGATACAGGAAATGATTGATACAGGTGACAATATTGTTAAGTATATATGATTAATTAGATAAAGTTCTACTGGAAAAACTGGCAATCACAGTGGTTTCGGTGAAGGCAATTTCGCTTGTTCAGAGCAGTTGAGGAATGACAGGTTGTAGTACACAAAGGGAATGTCTTTATTAATGCATTAATGCTTCCACCAGTGTATGAGTGTGAGAGTGAATGAATAGTGGCATTGTAAAGCGCTTTGGGTGCCTTGAAAAGCGCTATATAAATCCAATCCATTATTGTTATTAGCTCTTAAACCAGATGTGCCATTGAACTCTGAACAGCTGAACTTTACATTACTAAATAAAAGGGGGTACGACAGCAAGTCAGAGGTGACAGATTGCTTTCCAGTGGCTGCCCACGAGGTGTATAAAGCCTTGCTTGAGGTTCTCTGACAATATATTAAGTCATTAGTGCCAAGACAGACAACTATTGCAGAGACTTTGTGGTCTTAATGTCCTTCATGTGGGCACTGCCATGTGTCAGACCATAGAGCGGCAAACAACAAGCACCAGAATTAAAAGGACACTCAAGGTGGTGGCAGATGGTGAGCAGTTAGGGGGCACAGTAGCATGTCATCAATCAGATGCAGCAGTAGGAGCAGTAACAGCAGCAGAAATAGAGGTGGCAGTGGCAGCAGCAGTGCCCAACAAGACAAGCGCTGATCCCCAACTTACAAGACGGAGTCTTGGATATCATCTTGTAACACTGAGTATACCAGCAGACAATGTCCACACACATGCATAGTCTAAGAGCAGCAAGCAGTTAGTAAACAGGCTAAAAAATAAAAAATAAATAATAACAATAATATTTTAAAAAGGCTAGCAAGAAAAACCACGCTTCAGGGATGGATTGGAATGCAGTGGTGACACTATAGAGTTGAAGATGTCAAAGTAGAGGGCATAGTTTCTGTACCACCAAAGATTTAATAAACTTAATAAAAGGTTTTAGGATAAAACTTTAAAAGGCAGCAGGAAACATCAAGAGCAGCCTGAAAGATGGCCGTTAGGAGGTGATGTGACAATAAAGGCATGACAACAACCAGTCAATTCAAATACAACAGTCAATCATGTTTTTCAGTTACCTTCAAAATTAATTAATATCCTGTTAAATTAGTCCTAGCCTAAATTGTAGGTCTGCTCTGTAGCAGGTAAAATGGAAATCAAGTTGAAAGTTGTAGGCAAGTTTTGTGATATGCTCTTACCTCAATGACAGGATCCTGACTGTACTCTTTCAGTAGGTTCAAAACCACAGAATCACCAATTGCCCCCAGAGCTTCCCCTACAAGTACACAGAGATAGCAGTCAGACTTCAAAACTGCACC